CTTCCAATGTGTTCTTTATTAATACTGTCATTCTTTATTTCATAGTTACTATGTATTTTCTCATGCATCATTTCCACCATTATTCTGCACTCTATATCTGATAAATTTATTATCTCCATTTCATTTATCTCTTCTGGATAATTCTCTTGTTCTTTCATTTGGAGCTTTTTTTTATCTCCCCATTTTAATGGGCTGCCTGTTTGGGTTTGTGTCTACATATTAAGTAGATCTCAATCTCTAATGCAGAACAGGACAATGTCAGATGCTGTTTGAGACCCTGTTTGGAACTATTAGTGATTCACAGCTTGTGGCTTCCTCTGCTGGGGCTGGGTGCATTTGGAAAGGACCAAGATTTACACCAAGACCTGCTTTTCCTAGCCCTGGGACCAAAAGGAGATGAGGCAAAGACTCAAAGCCTCCAAAGACTCACCTCTGCTTGCAGTCTGATTATTATTCAGTTTAGATTAGCTTCAGGCTATTGACCACAGGGTGGGGCAAGAGGTTTTCCAATAAGGTGGGACAATTGCTTCTGCCTGCAGGCTGATTGTTATTCTCAATTTCTTAATGGGCCTCAGAAACTCCACAAGGTGGGGCAAGGGGTTTTCCAATAGGTTGGGGCAATTGATTCCCACCCCAGGCAAAAGCTGCCTGGATGGTAAAGGTATGCCAGAGAAAGATGTCCTCTTCAGTATGAGAGAATGTCTCAGCACAGGAAACCGGATGTCTGCCTTCTGAGGTCTAACCCCAGAGCCCCCAACCTTGGCTTCTGTTCACACAATTCCAGTCCACTCTACCCTCCTTCTGCTAGAGCCCAAGGTGAGTGGTTGCACATGAAATTTTGTGCATTGGCCCTTTAAGGAGGTCCCTGCATTTCCAGCCATCTTTCCCAGGCAGACAGCAACCCTGCTGCTGTTCACAACCAGATGTTTTGTGGGCACCTTTCTCAGTTCCAGTGCACTGGGCTGGGAGGCCAAGCTTGGAGTTTATACCTCAGAATTCTCAGTGGAAACGCCATAGAGCTGAGATATCTCTCTGGACCTTCAGCTGCTGTCTTTGGGATCCCAGCCAACCCTTGTGCACCTCTGTACCTCTTACCAGACTCTATGCAGTCTCCCCTTCTGTCCTTGGTTATCAGGGTTGTCTCCAGCTTGTCTTCAGTTGATTATTCAGATGGTTTTTCTGTATTTTAATTGTAATTCCAGTTTTGTCCTGAGAGTGTGTCAGTGTAGCTTCCACTTGCTCTGTCACCATTTTGGAATCCTCCTTATTGTATTTTATTGTGACTATATCGCTTGGCTTGCTTTTCTCTTTGATAGCTTTCTGCCTTGAATCTGTTAGTATCAGTTGACATTTTAAAAATAATTGTAGAGCATGAATAGTCTCTAACATAGTGATACTCAGCACAGAGCTTGGCATAATAGTTACTGATACATTAACTGGGTCCTTTCTTTTGAGTTCTTCAAAATGCAGGGAGCAGCATCATTTTACAATTTGGTAAAGATGAGTTTATACATCTGAAAACATTGACATATTGAGGACAATCTGTTCCTTAAATCCCTAAGCAGGAAGCAGTCAGCACAGTGAGTTGATACCTGCTTACCACAAAGAAGGCAGGGCCTAAAACATCTATGTGCCCTCACCCCCTACCAATGGTTGGCAAACTGCGGCTCGCGAGCCACATGCGGTTCTTCGGCCCCTTGATTGTGGCTCTTCAACCAAATACCACGTGCAGGTGCGCACATACAGTGTGATTGAAACTTCGTGGCCCATGCGCAGAAGTTGGCATTTTGTAGAAGAGCCACATTCAAGGGGCCAAAGAGCCGCATGTGGCTCGCGAGCCACAGTTTGCCAACCACTGCCCTAGGCCATTAGGAACATTTGGACAGTAGGCAGAGTGTCTATTTTTTCAGTGCAACAGGTTTTAGTAAAGAAATGCAATGGTTTCACAGTGGATGTGGACGTAACAAAAATTCCTTTTCTTTTTCTTTTTTTCCTTTATTGATTAATGTATTACATATGTGTCCTTAACCCCCCATTGCCCCCTCACCTCCCTGCTCATGCCCTCACCCCCCTAGTGTCTGTGTCCATTGGTTATGCTTATATGCATGCATACAAGTCCTTTGGTAGATCGCTTCCCCTTACCCCCACCCTCCCCTGCCTTCCCTCTGAGGTTTGACAGCCTGATTGATGCATCTCTGTCTCTGGATCTGTTTCTGTTCATCAGTTTATGTTGCTCATTATATTCCACAAATGAGTGAGATCATGTGATATTTATCTTTCTCTGACTGACTTATTTCACTTAGCATCATGCTTTCCAGGTCTATCCATGATGTTGCAAATGGTAGGAGTTCCTTTTTACGGCAGCATAGTATTCCATTGTGTAGATGTACCACAGTTTTATGCTGATGGGCACTTAGGCTATTTCCAAATCTTAGCCATTGTAAATTGTGCAGCTATGAACACAGGGGTGCATATATCCTTTCTGATTGGTGTTTCTAGTTTCTTGGAATATATTCCTAGAAGTGGAATCACTGGGTCAAATGGGAGTTCCAGTTTTAGTTTTTTGAGGAAACGCCATACTGTTTTCCACAGTGGCTGCACCAGTCTGCATTCCCACCAGCAGTGCATGAGTGTTCATTTTTCTCCGCATCCTCGCCAGCACTTGTCATTTGTTGATTTGTTGATGGTAGCTATTCTGACAGGTGTGAGATGGTACCTCATTGTCGTTTTGATTTGTATCTCTCAGATGATTAGTGACTTTGAGCATGTTTTCATATGTCTCATCGTCTTCTGTATATCCTCTTTTGAAAAGTATCTACGTATTTAGGTCCCTTGCCCATTTTTTGATTGGATTGTTTATCTTCCTTTGTTAAGTTGTATGAGTTCCCTGTAAATGTTGGAGATTAAACCCTTATCAGAGATAACATTGGCAAATATGTTCTCCCATGCAGTGAGCTTTCTTCTTGTTTTGTTGATGGTTTCTTTTACTGTGCAGAAGCTTTTTATTTTGATGTAGTCCCATTTGTTTATTTTCTCTTTAGTTCGCAATACCCTAGGAGCTGTATCCGTGAAGAAATTGCTTTGGCATATGTCTGAGATTTTGTTGCCTTTGGACTCTTCTAGAATTTTTATGGTTTCCTATCGTACATTTAAATCCTTTATCCATTTTGAGTTTATTTTTGTGCATGGTGTAAGTTGGTTCTTAGCGGAAATGGTTTTAGGTTTTGCACATTGAGTATGATGTTGGCTGTAGC